TGCATTGGAAAATGTGCTTTGTGATCTGGCAATAAAAATATCAGATTACTATAGTATCAGAGAAGACAAAACTTGATCCCCAATCAGCCTTTAAAGTTGTGAAAAATGTAGCTGAATTGAGTTTTGATAAGATATTGATTATAGGGTAGCTGGATTTTGGACGGTAAAGTGATTCTAAATTTAGCAAATTCAGAATTTAGTTGGAATGAAAACTTTTATTAGACGAGGAAATGTGACCTACTTCTAAGATTTGATATCTCCCCCGTAATCTAAGGTTAGATAACTTTATATGAATTTGTAATAAGGAGATTTGGCCCAAAGTCTCAGAGATGGACAGTTTGTCTGCTTATGTGTAATAATTGGTACCAAGTACCTAGGGCTTACACTTCCATCCAGATTGCTCTTGTTTGGTTTTCTTTTAATTCCTTGTTTATGCTAAATTCATCCCTATCAACCTATTATAAAACTTTCAGAACAGACCTTAGAGTTTATGGTGCACAAATACATGCATCTGTGTAATCAAAATGCATAGAATTATATTTTGCGTCTTGGTTTCACAGCTATCTGTAAAATTAATAATTAAGTATTTAGAAAAAAAATTAAATTGATAAAAAATTTTAAATGCATTCATTATACAGACAATTAAGCAAGATGTATTGATTTAGAGTTCTGCAAGAATTTTGATGCTTGGGGTCAAGATCATTCAATTGATCATTTGACAAATGTCAAAGTTTTACTTTAGATTAAACTGTTTAAAAAAATGTTTTAGGTTACTACATGTAAAATTTTTGCCTCATTTCCATTGAAAATGGTACACAGGAGGACTTCATCGAGACTTATTTCTTACAAACAAATTTTGAATTCAACAGTTATTTGTATTACCATGGCATCTGAAACTTGTCTTACTTGGTAAATTCAATAAGGATGCTTTTTTGAAAGGTTAAGATTACTATTAAAAGTAAAATAAGCAGCTAAATATATTTTAATGGTTTTCCTGTTACAATTTTTCATGTAATTTTAGACTTAGTACAATAATGGACACTCTCTAGGTTTAAAGCATGATTATGGGATTTAATGAACAAAATTGCAATACTTAATTAGAATAGAAGTTCTGTTAAAGTGTTAAGCTACTATATTTGTTACAGTTTTCCCTGAAATTAGGTGCAAGTTGACAATATCAAAATACTTAATTTTGTGAATTATGGTATGAAGGTGTATCTATGAAAGGATAGGTGTCGTACGTAATAAACCATTGAAAGGATTTTACAGGTATTTATCTTGTTATGGCTTTTCAAAAGGATTTATTGTTGACATGAGAAAAACTAAATGTTCAATAATAACAGAGAAGATTTAAATTTCCAATCCAATTTCAGAAGTGTAATCTTATTAGGCCTTTTTTCCATCAATAGAAATCTATTGGGTTGATGTAATGCATATATTTAAGGGGGTCTTGGCTTTAAATTATGTAACTACGACATTTGATAAATGGATATTTATCTTGAGCACTTCATGAGAATTACAAGGTAAATTAAGATTTTAATTTTCTATCATATTTTACATGTTATAAAGAGCTATAATTTTATTCTTTTTTTCATGTGAAGCAGTATTCTTTTTTTCATGTGAAGCAGTTGATTAATGTGTAGAATTTCATGTACAGTTGAGAAATGTATTGATTTTTAGCTCACCTGAGCCGAAGGCTCAAGTGAGCTTTTCTGATCAAAATTTGTCCGTCGTCTGTCGTCGTTGTCGTCGTCGTTGTAAACTTTTCTTATTTTCATCTTCTTCTCAAGAACCACTGGGCCAATTTCAACCAAACTTGTTACAAAGTATCCTTGGGTAAAGGGGATAAATTTGGAAGGGCCACGCTCTCTTCCAAGGGGAGATAATTTAAAGCAGAAAAATTAATGGCATTTTTTAAAAATCTTCAAAATTAGGCTAGGAAACTTAATGTGGAATCAAAAGTGCAGATTAAAGTTCAAATCATGTTGGGGCCAAAATGGCCAATCAAAGTTGACTATATCTTTAAAAATCTTTTTCCCTGAAATTGGGCCAGGAAAGATGAAATATGTGGAATACTTCATTTTGTGAATTAAGTTTGTTATCATGAAGGTGTAGGGTGGGGCCAAAATGGCCAATCAAAGTTGAACATAGGAATATATAAAAAATCTTTAAAAATTTTACCACTGGTATCATGTGGAATCATCCTCAGGTAGTGTTAAGTTTGCTTTTCAAAAGGCCATTTAAAGTTTTGACATAGGAATATATAGAAAAATCTTTAAAAATCTTCAATAATAACCACTGGGCCAGAAAGATTTATGGAATTTCCTCAGGTAGTCCAATTTGTTCAAATATACCAAAACATAAAAGATTTACATAGGAATATATAGGAGAAATCTTTAAAAATTTTCTTCTCATCACAGGGCCAGAAATCTATGTGGTTGATGTAATGCATATATTTATGGGGGTAGGGTGGGGCCACAATGGCCGATTTTTAAAGGAATATATAGTAAAAGTCTTCTTCTCAAGAACCATTTGATAAATGGTGGATATTTATGTAGATTCACTTTGTTAAAATCATACAAGGTAAATTAAGATTTTAATTTTCTTTTATATTTTACATGTTATAAAGAGCTATAATTTTATTCTTTTTTTTCATGTAAAACTGTTAATTAATGTCCCCCCCCCCCCCCCCCCCCCCCCCCCATAAATTTCATGTGACTGAAATGTGAGCCAATTGCTATGTTGATTTTTTTTCTTCAATTTGAGTCTTCATTCTAGGTTAGTTTTTTGCTGTTTGCTTTTAATTGTGTTAGACATGGCAGTATTTTGTTTCTTTGGATAATAGACAAGACAAGGTCCTAATAAGTTCAGATTTTATGTTTTGGTGCACTTATGTGCCCTGCACATTGAACATGGTTTAGCTTAAAATTCTCTTCAAGGGTTTAAGAACCACGTACAATATTTAACACAAGTAATCCATCAAGTGGGCTTTCATTCAAATATAGTTTGTATATTTTTGAATGAAATGTAAATTTGGTCAAGACATGAATGACATTTTTCTTTGAAACACACAGCAGAGAGAGAAAAAAATACAAGAAATGTATTACTCTAGACTAGTCTACTTAAGTTCTAAAGTCTGACAGTTATTGTGTAAAATTAAATAAAAAGTTGGAGTATATAGGATTAAACTTTTTAATCTGAGGGTTCAAAAGGTGATTTCAGGTTAAACTTTGGACCTTATAGTGATTTATATTTTTTTTCTTCTTTAAACATGCAGTTGTGATATTTGTTCTGAACATGTGAAAAAGATTTCTCTTTTGTGGAGGAATGTTTAGATCAGTGATAGAAAATTTTACCTATACATGTATTAACTATTGGGAGAGTTTAAATTAGGTCATATCTAGTAATTGAAGTTCTTTGACCTAGAGGCATGCTAATCAAGTCCCTGGTTGTGACTTAAGTCAAACCTTAGTGTACCTAGCTGGAACAAACAAAAAAACTTGGGAGTTGCATGATTATGTGAAATGTTTTAAAAACCTGTAGACTTTATGTTCTGCCTTGAGGGATGTAGTCACTGGTTTAAAAAGGATGTTATGAAAATGGATCAAGGCCCGCTCTATGTGCAAAATACCTGTTGACAGAACACCTGAAAAAAAAATCTGAATGAGGCTCAGCTTACAACACAGTGGACTTCAATGTTCCTATTCTCAGCAATTTTTCAGGACACTCTGAGGAAATGCGTCCCCCAGTGTAAATATTATCATAATACCAATGCTGACCAAATAGAGGGGGAAGTCTTCAAAGTATCAAAAAGCAACTCTCTAAATGGTGCTAAATATTTTCTTTTGAGATCATTATAGCTGTTTGATTGGGTCAAGGTGGGAGTTTACGAGACTGCTGCCTTAGAACACCTTGATTTACCTGTGCATGCTTGGATGATACTGTCAGACAAATTCACTAGATGTGCTTTATATGGAGTGAATCTGACAAAAACCTGGAATTTTAAACACAGTGAGAGACAGGAAAGTAAGGGGATGATTTTTTTCTATTCAGTGAGAGATTAATGTTTTTCCATCTTTTCCGAACAGTGTGTGGATTTAAATAAGTTGATTTGTGTTCTTTCGTTAAGTTTTCTTCTTTATATTGAAAAGTGACACTGACTGGACTTTATATGGTGAAGATTGTCAGTTCATGGTTGTGTATCATAGTCAGTTGGTAAAGGAAATTCAATGATAGTAGTTTTAATGTGATATTGCTGATTACAACATGTGTATGGGGCTGACACACCTGTGAAGGTAACTGGAGGATAGGGACAGGGAACAGACATCGCCAGCATCAGGTGAAATGATCTGTCAGAAAACGAGGACCTCTCCTTTTATATGACACACTCGCGGGATCAAATTAACATATTTAACTGTGTGTGTTTTAAATGTGGTATAGAAAAATCCATCTTCACAATAAAAGTATCATTTTTCATGCCCTTTCTTGCAAAGAGAGGGTTAATGTGAATCTGCATATAGGAATACCTGTGTGAAAAAAACATATTTTTTGAGACTGTGGCTATATAAAGTTTGACCTACATCCACTTGACTAGAAGTTTGGACAGTCTAAGAGTCGGGTTATTATCACTAAATTGGACTGCTATAAATAATTCATGAGCTTCGTTCTTAGGCCGTTAAGTTAGAGGAAGTGCACACTGTGTCTTGTTAGTACTTGACAATTCTAAATTGTAGTGTATTATACACCTAAGGTAGATAAGAGGCCAGGACCTGAGATACACACATGCTGAGAAGAGGGAGGTAGAGTTTTTCAACAGGTATAATAACACAGTGATTATGTGTTGGTGTCATACAACTGTATTTGGAGGAACATTTCCGTGAATGGGTGACTAAACAGTTTCATAATTTGTAATGACATTGGAGTAAATATAACTACTATGGACCTCTACATGACAGATTTTTTCAGTTGCTGCAGAATTGTGTACCAGCGATTTTGGATGACTAGTGTAAAAGTCTATGCAGGGTTTTCATTAATTGGGTCCCTGTCTGCTCCATCTGCTTCATTTAAAGGTATATTGGAGAGGAGACAAGGGATTGATTCCCTGTAACTGATCTATTATATTGATCCTCATTACCAGTTGTAAATCCACCAGAAGACCATTGACTTACAGGCTAGGGTTTCAGCAGCGGTCCAGGCGATAGATAAAGTATTGATGAGAGGTATTTTATAATGAAACAGAACTACCTTGTGTAATAAAAGCCATTACTCCAATCAATTTGTTCAATGATTGATGAAGGGAAAACCTTATATGTGTTCAATGTGATTGTTTGAGAAGCCAGGAAAGAGGTGCTTCCATTTCACCAGGGCCACTGTCCTCCCAACACATGTAGCCAGACAGCGGGAAACCTCGAATGTATTTCTAAATATTCTCTTCTGTTTCATCCGTGGATTAAATTGAAAACTGTTTGGTTTCCATATTTCATATCCGGCAACTTTTCAGTGTTTGCATCTGTCACTCCTTTTGAATTCTTCAAATAATTTCATGACCAGAAAAAAGAGTTGTATGGAAATTCTGCATACCAATGGCTTGAATTAGCATATATGAGCTGAAGTAAGCCAAATGGTGTAAATATATGTCCAAACTGGAGTCATTTGCATATTATGCATAATATTGTCTTCAGTCTCTATTGTGTAACATTATATCTGTATTCTGTGTAAGTGCCCATTGCGGATTTAACTCTGGATTTCCTTACGTTGTGCACATTGACAATGACAAGAGATTTCGCATCATTAGACTTGCGGTTACAGATGGACTAAACTATTTCTGCTCCGTTAAACTTTACACTAAGTGAACACTTTTCCCGTCTTTATAGAAGAATGTTGTGATGGTTTACAAGCTGTCTTTATAAGGATGTGATATATTGAACATTTAAGTGGATCCTACATTACTGTGTTTTCATAGTGTTTAGTCTTACAGGAGCATTATGGATTGGTCAAATTGTAAGGTGCGATATCGCGACACCTCTCGACTGGTGTTTCAGGAGTTACAGGAGAGACACCTGGTGGGGAGAAATTCCATGGTAGGTGTCCGCAGTCAATTGGTAACGGAAATCTTGTATACAATAATCGGGCTTGAATTAAGCATAATATTACTTATTGGGAGTTATCTTTAGGTTTGGCCAGTGTTACATGTAAGAATTGATCATCTACAATGTTGGACAAAATGTGCTTAGTTACAGTAAATCGGAGTTTTATCAAAAGGTTTGGGGAAAGAACCCCACTTCATACCTGTATTATAAATTGTATTAGGATCTATTTTGGACCTCAAGCATTCCATTCCAAATTAAGGAATAAATATTTACAGGGTTCAACAACTTTTTAAGATAAATGCTAACATTAAGAAATTCTCAGTTTGCCTTATGAATGACATTCAAGTGCTATTTAAAGAAACGAAACCCTAATAAGTGTACAACAAGATTTTTTCTTAAATAGTGCATTTGTCTTGTAGAAAATTAACATTCACAAAAATAAGCTTGGCAGACAATGAAATATCATGTGACAGATTTATGACTTGACTGCTTCTCCAGGATTTAATATTCATTGAGATTTCATATTTACACTGAACAGCTTAGATTACTGTCTCTGCAGCTAGATACGAAGGTTAATTGTTGTATGTGTACAAGTCTGAACATAGTCTTTCTACATTGACATTTTTTTTATAAATGACTATAGGTTTACTCGAAATTTGGTGCAGATAATTAATAACCCTTGTTATAATTGACAAACATTGTGCATCCTTCTAGACTGAAGTGACATAATCCATTACGTAAATCCCACATAACTGATTTCCTATCAGGACCTGGGTCTGCTGATCATAAGACAAGATTGATTCTAGAGACATTTATATCACAGCTGACATTGATACCTTCAATGAACAAATCAATAACTCTGTAAGAATCTTCACACAGACACCTGCTAGACAAAACAAAGCCAAATTCCTGCTTACTGCTATACTTCACAGAGTGTCAGACTTATATACAGTATATGTAATATTGAGGAGGGGCACCTGCTGAGGATAGATTCTCTGGTCAATGCCTGCTATCTTGACACATGGCTACTGAGTTTTTGGAGGGGGTGATTTTTTGGGGGGTATTAAGCTGTCAGTGGTAGGAAGCTGCAGGTGTTTTACAGATACACATCTCCTGAAATCATTAAAAGGTGTTGATGGAATTATTCAAGGGAGCCTTCACGTAATGGAGGTATTGTATCGATAATGATCGTCTTTAACTTAAAAAACCTTGAAAAATTGCCACTGTTTCTGCAGCATGGCGTCATAGTGAGAAAATTTGTTCTACCTGAAGCACAAGGCCTCATAAGATTTTAGTGTATTAAAAGGATCTTGATCTTAGATTAAGTGTCACATTGTCAACTTCGCTTTCTTCAGAAGGAGAACAAAGGTTGTATAGTCAGTGGTTGAGAACTATAGCTGGCTTAATTTGATAAAATTTTCCTCCATTATTTGCTATGATGCCCTCTGGCCGCTCTGTAAAGGCTAGTTTTCACCTGAGACAAATTGACCACACTTGTTCTTGTTGACGCTCTCAGTAGGGGACGAGCCATTTCTCTATTGTTTGTTCTAACTTTACTCATCATGGCTCTATAATGGTGAGCTGGAGATGCTATACAGTGCTAGCAGGGGAGAGTCAGGAAATTTAAATGGTCTGTGGTTAATTCTTGTTCAGGGTAGCAGTGTTTTTAATGCAGTGCTGGGTGGGACATTTACTGCCTTAATTACACACTTCAGTTCTTGTGGTCAAGATTTCAGATATCAAACCTGTCATCACACGAAAAATCAAGCATTTATTGATTAACTGTGTTATTTTGTAACCTTCAAGGCCTCCAAGTCAAAAAGGACAAATGTTGTAAAGCATGATATGCTTTAAAATGAGGATAATATGAAGATTATGAAGTTTATTTCCTATTTCATTTTGCAATTGATGGCCGATTGGGTTGAAAATTCTTGACCTGTCAGAATAATATTAATAATCATAGTATCATAACCTCTATGACAGAAAGACTTACTCATTTTAAATTTTGACATTCTTCATTTAGAAATTCTCAAAGGATGTGATACTTAATTTAGAACCCCCTACTTTGGGGTTAGGAAGAAGTACACTTGTATAGATACATGTATATCTCCTGGTTATTGACCAGCAGCCAGCTGCTTCAGTTTAACTTGAGATTCTGAAATTAGAAAGCTGAGTGTAAATGTGAACTCTTATGTTGACCTGTTAGGGACAAATACAAACATTTATCATAGGTTTAATCCTTTGATGATAGATCTACATGTATGTCTTCATTTAATACAGGGGGTCCCTCATCTCTCTGTTAAAGCTCTCCTACAAGCCACAAGTGGACACATTAAAGTCCTTGAAGGAGACAGTACATTGTGCTGGCTTAATAATATTTAGGTAGGGGGTCGTGTGAGAACCTTGTGATAGGGTTTATTTCTTATTTGTATATACTCTACGGTAAACACTGAACATTGGAGTGAATCAGTGTGAAAATATTGTGTTTTGGGTCATTTACTGTCAAAGAATTCACCAAACATAACAAGATTAGAATACTACTGAAGAAAATAAGAAAAAAACATTTTTGGAATGTTTGTAAGGGTTTTTTGGTTCATTTCTTTGTATGTTAAAATAAATTGTTAAACATTTGAAGTAGGGACGATAATCATTTACTATAGTCATTGGATAAATGGCCAGAAGAGAGAGAGAGAGTAAATGTTTACAGAATTTTGGGGTATCTACATTCTGTTTTCTTTATGAATGTCTGGTCTTTACACATAAATTTTAATACTAAAGATATGTGGCCTTGGGGGTCACAGAAAAAAATCTTCATTCCTCTATGCCTACCACACACTGTCAATATATCTTAAAGCTTGAAATTTTTGGTTTTCAATCTAATTGGATATAGGATTGACTTTTTCTTAGCCTTAATTATTGGTCGTTTGAAGACAAATTTTGGGAAACTACTCAGATTGTGCATTTCAAGGATCTTAAAATTTGACTGAATTAGGTACCTGCAGGTAAATAAATCTATAAATATAAATAAATCCTTCTACCTCTTAGGAAGTTGAACTACTAGCTGTCTTCTTAATTAATTGATGGGTTATGCAATCTTTATCTTATTAATCTAAGTATTATACATTTATTAGGAAGTATTACTGGCTGTGAGATTAAATATTGTACATTTTTTTGCTTTTGGCATTTGTTGCAGCCAAATACAGTTCTTACTTTCCCTAACTGGCCTTTTCTGATAGACTTGGCTTTTTTGTTTCACGATCTTCCCATTTTTTTAGTTTTTTTTTCTTTGCTTTTTAAGATAGATCAATCAAGACTTTTATTTTGGACAAAATGAGATTAAAAAGATTATCACAACACTTTGTCAGATGTGGATTATTATAAAGGTCAGATAAATATAGGATAAACATAAATTGACTTCTTCAAATACATCTGTTGAAGTTGTTTTATCAAAAGTCAATTTTCCTAATTTATTTACTATTAAAATATTTAAGACTTTCAAGTCTGTTACTTGTAAATCTAAATTCTTAAAAAAAAGTGAATGATTTATATTTAAAGTCCTCTCTTTATAGATATGCCAATTCATGACACTAAATCTTAGGAAAGGGGTACACATAGAATTGGACCCAAGTTTACTTGCTGGTGTTTAGGTATTTTCAATATTTAGTCAATGGCAATTTTCCGGTGACATATAAATTTGTCTAGACTTGGTGATAATTCCTTTTTATCACTAGTTCATTGCCTGTTAATTATGTACATGTATTAGACTGGTAGCCAATGCCCTTGCTTGATTAACTACCGTTAAGAGTTTTATATCTAAAGCATCATTAAATCAGGTTTAAACAGATTAAAGAAAACATGTAATGTTATATGCTTGATACACTTTAAAACATACAGAATTTTGTGTGAATTCTTTTACTGTTTTGTCAACATCAGAGTATCTTGTTTTTTCTTTACCAATATTGAAAATATTTTTATATTGAATTTTTATATTGAATTTTATAGATATAACATTTTCTTCTGTTTAAGAGAAAATGTGCATATTTCTGTTAAAAAATAAAAAAATGTATTTACATCAATACAAGTAAACCTTAGGAGTAATTTCTCAACAAATATAACCTAAAGGGTTGAATAACATTTAATTCTCTCAAAACCTGTTTCTGAAGTATTGGCATAATGACATGGGAATTAATACTTATGCCATTAGCAATGACAAAATTGAGCATTATGCTGCTGATACAGTGCATGTTGTCATTCAGTTTGATACTTTGTATGTAGTTCAGTTAGTACAGTTACCTGACCCCTGGTACAGTGAGTACATTTATATTGTGAAGTACACACCAAACAGGTGAGTTACATCACAGAATCCCCCAATAATGGAAAACTAATCCCCCTCCTGCAGGTAGGATTTGACAGTAAAGATTCTGTTATAACAGATATATAAATATCACACCATAATCTTATTTAGGCCAAATAAAACCTGTCTTGTAGCAGGTAATGTGTATCTCTGAGGTCTGATTTTATCATTGTGGTCACTTCTCTGTGGTCCCTGTGGAATCTGTCCAGTCATTGGATGACCACCTGTCTAGTACAGGAAAAAAGCACTACAGGGCTGTTTTCTTTTCATTGATGAGGTCTGATTTAGTCCTGATTTACACAAATAATGGGGCATTGATCGTGTCCATCTGTCCGGCCCTGCTACTGGTCTAGAAGTCTGATCTGCCCTGACCGTACACTGTCTGTCCACAGTTATTGACCGACGATCATCGTCAGTGGAGAGTATCTCTACATTAATGTGTTCGTTCCGAGGTGAAGGATTTTTTAATTAAAGACACAAAGACAATCAATGTCATTTATTTTTACCTTGTTCAAGGTTCACTGTATGAACTTTTCACAATCCATCAATCACTGTTCTCTAGCATCAGGTTGTTTGTCTACTTTTGTCAGTTATTTGTCAGGCAAAGCAATGAAATCATGGAGCAGAAAAAGGTTCTCATGTGAATTAGAATCAAAAAGGTTAACAAAATGAACCCCCCCCCCCCCCCCTTTTAATAAACATTAAAATAAATGTATGGTGACATTTTGAAAAGATGCGATTGAAGGGAAATTCCATGATATGTATTTGTCTGTGTAGACACGTATCTAAAATTGGAATTCTGATTTACTAAATATGCTAACTGTTATTGTTAAAATAAGCTAATCAGATCTATGCAAAGGTGATAATTAAATTTACACCATGTAAGGTTTATTAAGCACAGATTGGACATTGATACAGTGTAGTGTACCTCTTTTTACTTTTACTTATCCTAGACAGTGTTATAACGTTTATTAACTTGTGTTATTTATAACTACCTGTCGGCCGGCTGCACTTTGCCGCTGATTAGAATTTATAAACAGATTCTGGGTATGGGCTGCTGTAGGATCAAGGCCAATACATATTTTACTGTATTCAGTTTATGCAAACCATTCATTTTAGATTGTTTGTTTAGTAATATTCATCTGCTGGCTTCTATTGTTATGTCTATTACCTTGTGATAATGTAAAAAGGGAGGAAAGAGAGTATTCAAAGGAGTTGATCAAAAATTAATTTAAGGGAAGCAAGATTCTTACTAACATGTAAACAGAGGTAAATACCTGAAGGACCAGTAAGGTCTGGTGGAATGTCATGGCCCTAGTGCTCTGTTTCCAGGTAAAAATGAAGTTCTGGTCTTTGATTTGTTGATAAAGTTGTTTTTCATATGGTGGTTTGTTGACTTGTCTTTATTGAAAAAACACTTTGGCAGCAGTGATTGTTTTATTGTTCTTGGAGAGTCAACACTGGGGTCCATCATTGGGTCATTAGTATCAGGAAATTGGAGTCAGCGGGAGAAAGTTAAGACATTCCTGTAGTGTAGTTCAGATTCCAAGGGGCGATTTATCAGCCACCTCAATGTTATGTTCAGGTGTATAAAAAAAAACATGTGACTTGACTTAGATTTATAGGGACATTTTATATGGAGAAAGGTTATGGAGTTGAACGTTGTTCCCCTAAAAAAATTGATACTGTCAAAAAGGTACAGTCAGGAAGGTTTTTTCAGTAAATATTGTACCTCATGGATCTTTATTTTATATGTCCCCCTTCCAAGAAGGGAGGGTATATTGCTTTGCTGAGAGACTAGCAATTTTCCACAAAAAAGTTCTGTTTTAAAGGTTGCACATATTTGAAATGAAATTTGGTATGTACATATTTATCATGAGAACACAAATCAATTCTTTATTTTATTTATTTATACAAAAGTAATTTATATTACAGTCAAGAAGATTTTTTTCGGTGAACATTGTACCTGATTGATGTTTATTTTTTTTTAAATATAATGATATTGGATTCTAAGCAGGTGGTATATATCCACTCTCTGATCTGCAATGATGTAAATGGGTCATTCAATTTTTATAGCACTCCACTAAGTGACACATTTTGTCCTTTTTAATGCTATATTTTCCTTGTAAGTACAGCCCATTAAAGTAAACATTTTTGTTGTAAGGTGTAACATGACAGTTTAGATTAGATATTGATATGGTGTATTTGAGTTGGTTATCAGTTACTTCTATCACCTTGTTATTTCTGCTTGGATCAACAAGGCCACGATTATTATAGCATAGAGGTGATATGTTAAAAATGCACTCTTGTTATGAAAACACAGGTTAATGAAACCAAAATAACTTGTACTCATTACGAGTAACATACACTAATATAGCAAATATAAATAGCCTGTTCCATATATAGTAATTAACCAAAAGTATTCAGTAGGAAGAGCACAGTAAGAGTTGCTGCCCTTTGAATGTTAAAAATGTGACAATTTTAAATCTGTTTTTAATACTGTTCTATTTTTATTTTTTCAGAAGTTTTTTGAGTTTGAGCTCCAGCCTGCTGCCTCTGAGAGTGATGACAGAACCAGCTATAACTCCAACAAGGACCTAGTGGACAGTACCCCCACCACCCTAGATCCTCTCCCACAGGTAAACAGGGAGGACTGTGTCCCTACCACTCCGAGCTTCCTCCCGCCCGTGGACAGGAGTGAACATCTGATTCAGCAGACTCTCAAGGAACACAAGGCTCTTCACAGGTCTAACACGACCCCAGATCTACCACAGCATCATCTCAAGATACAGCGCAGTGTTAGTGTCGGGGGGTATTATCCCGAGGAAAACTATAACTTCTACAATGAGAATAATAGTTTTAATCCAAGAAATGAAAATGTGAATGCCAGTCAGACGTTAAACAAATCGTTAGCAAAGTCAACCCCTAGTCCTCGTCATAGACGAAGCTTGTCAACCACAGCTGTTCAGACTTCATTTGATGAAAACAGTAACCCTTTTGAAGATAATATTCCAGTGCCAAGCAGGTCTAGTAAACATGTTACACAGGGAACTAACACCACAGATTCCTTAGAAAGACCAAGGAAACGAAACAAAAGCAGTGGAGATGTGGCCAGCAAAGCCCCAGCTAAGAAACCCACAAACTTCCCACAGAAGTTAGTCAGAGGGAAAAAGATGGGGACCTATATCTATGATCAGTCGCCAGAAATGCAGGTGTTGGTTGCCTCCACCAGTCCTGTTTTGTTTCGCAGGAAACCTTCCGCTAAAGGTAGAAATCGCCCCCGATTGCCAGCCAATGAGATTTATTGTAACAATACGCAGAACATGATCAACAACATGGATACTGTTGAAATGGAGATGGAATTAAAAAGGCAGGAAGAAGCATTTCTGAAAAAGGATGTGTCACAAACATGGCATGGATCAACTGCTAATAAATGGAAGATTTTGTATGCCCCAGTTGCAGAGCAACTTAATAACAGACATAATGAAAATGGTTATCAAACACTTCCTTCTAAAACATCACTTCTAGATGAGATGCACAAGAAATACTGTGCTTATCAGTACAAGAATAAGAACTTCATCAATGTTGATATGAATGGAACTCTTCCTCTGAAGTTCCAGTCCAGCCCCCCACCCCCTGATCGTATGAAGTCCCGCTCCTGGCTCCTCCAGCATTACACGATCCCCCTCCCCGTGTCCTCTTCCTCATCCTCCCCCGACAGTCCCGAGGAAAATAAAAAGTTAGGGAACAAGCAAGAAGGCTAGTACTTCCCCTAAAGAACAAGTCACTAGTAGTGAGACTGAAGGACAGGTATCCAGTCCTAGTGAAGAGGAAAAAGAGGGCCAGGAACCAGACAAACAGCCAGATGAACCAGTCCAGATGAGGAAAAAGACTCCTGTGACGGTAGGTCTTGTAACATTCATGGAATTTATTCAAAATTTATCAATCAGCTTTAAAAAAAATTAGAAAAATATTTTGCATTGAATTCTATGTATTATTTGATTCATACACCAATAATAGCTTCCTTTAAGAGAGATTTTTTAAGTAGAATGGAGCTTATGATACATATTCACCCAAAGCCAGCAGCATTGCTTTTAGCATCTAAAAAAGTATTTTAAGCAGCTCAAGTTCTCATGGCCTGCATACAGTGTTTTTTTATAAGGAGAAGGAAAAGCAACTCTTACGTGCCACTTGCAAGCCAAGAAAAGTGCTTGCAAAGGGAGATAAATACCCTTTTTAACAAAGTTCCAAATATTCTTATGATTAGCAGAATATTATTACAGGAATGGAAATTTGATATAGCATCCAAATGAATTGGTATTTATCCCATTAGTTATCACTTTGATCAAATGATATGATTCTTGATAACCTTTGATTAAATTTCTGACTTGTACTTTTTATAACATGGCATGTCACAGCTGTAGTACGATGTTTTTTATTTAATATTTTTGGAGGAATTTGGAATGCCTGTGGTCTAACATAAGAATGAATCAGCTGATATTCTAAACTGGTTTACTGGCGAGAAGTTAAACACTGTCTATTATTCTTTGTTTTTGATGTCGGTTTTTCTGCAGCATTTGTTTGCATGTTAAAGTGCTCTTTTATTTGAAGTGGGTGTTAATGGTCACATTTGTAATCTTGTGTGATTTTTAAGGGAGGTATCATGTATTAGAAGAAGAATTGTGAATGGAAGTCTTAGGACCCCACACAGTATGCGATTTACAAAAACATCAGTTTTGTAGTGAGACTGTTTAATGCTAGAGAGAACAAGGGAAGACCTATCCGTATCTAATTCGTGTTAAATGTAGCTATTTTAAAAAGCTAATTTTGATATTTTTGGTTGATAAGAAGTAAATTTACCCACAATTTAAACTGTAAAGGTTAAATTATATGATAAATTGCATGCACTGATGTATATCTTGTATTCAGATTTTTGTAGAAGAGCAGTTACCCTTGTGCATTAAGAAAACAGTTTTGTAGGATTACTGGTAATCTTTTTTTTTTTTTTTTTTTTTTTGAAAATAACATTTTAGCTTGGGAATTTTAAAGGGGATAAAATACTAAGAGTTTGAGGTTGTGCAGTACATGATAGGATTAAATTGGGGATATGTTTTACGGAGGTTAAAGGTTGTGCAGTTTATACTAGGATTAAATCATTAACAAGTTGTATAAGTGGCTCCTTTATAATTCTCTAATCTCATAATATATAAATAATCAGAGAAATTTTACTGTGAGATAATGTGTAAGCAATAGTGTATTAAATGATTAAATTTTCTAGATTATTTTTCCAAAGCTGGTTTAATTTGAAGATTTTGAGTTTTGGAAATAGAAAGCCGAGTAGTCTAATACTGACTAAAGGACAAAAGGCCAAAACAACGCATTATTAGGGTATTGTTACATAGTGAACTGCTTAGACCCAGGTGATTTAAAAGATTAGCAGTTTAAAATATCTGTGTGCCTGATAGACAAAGCTTTGTGGTGTTTAATCAGGAGACGCAGGCTGATTTCAGTGGTGTGTGGTCACTGACTCCTCAGTTAAAACCATTTAAACCAATCAGGGCACTGCACATCTGATTGAGATATAAGGCCTTATCTCTACATACACATAATTGGCAAATTTAGTTTCTTGTGAAAACAGTGAATAGCATAAGCAAATATTCACTCTGCAGAATTTGGCAGAATATTCCACTTTGTTTTTGCTTCAATCAGCAGAACAGTATTGACATATCATAGATATTTCATTGACCTAAGAATTTTTACAATGGGTCAACAACAAGTTCTGTTTTAGAGGGTCCAGATAGATTTTGGCCCCTGATCGTGGAGGAGTAGGAATTTATCAATTATATATTCGGGTACAGTACACAGAATGAAAGGGAAGCCATCCCCTATTTACCCGTGTTATCATGCGATATGAAAGCCCTTTTAACTTGGACAGATTGTGAATTGTGAATCAAGCATTTAAGAGGACTAATCGCTTAGAATGGCAGAACTTTGTTACTTTTTCAAATCTCTGACCATGCTTTATGAACCCGCTCGCAAGAAATTCCAGGTAAGGCAGAAAAATTAGGTATTCAAGTACTATGTACTGTATACTGCATTTGTATATATAAATGTGAGCATTTTCTATTAGAATTCTGTCTATTATTTTTAAGAGGTATTTTTAAACAAATATTGATTGCAGTGCAGAGGTTTCGTGAGAAATAACAATTTCCCAGATCGCAGTTTGGTAATCGTTATAAAAATAAGGCTAATTTTATTAGTTTTAGAGTGCAGATGTGAAATAAAGTAATTTTTCAGTATGATAAAATCAACCTCATCAAAGACAACATCCTGTTTTATTAAATAAATCCTGTTTTACTAAATAATTATATTAATGTTCCATTGGCAGACTCAAACACTCTTTAAATTATCATGATAAAGCACTTTGTTTTCACTTTCAAAGTAGACCATTAGTTGCAATATAGTCACTTTGGTAAATGATGTATTAAATATAATGGTTAAAACACCAAAAGTACATTGCCACTGATTTAATAATCATCCAATTTTTTTTTCATCCACATTTTATTTTGAGGATTTTGTATGCTAATGAAGGTGCACCTTTATCTGTTAAAACTATAAACCCAGGTCTTGTTTGTGGTTTATTGTATTCTGTTATGTTAGTACCACTCCAAGACAGGTAGTTGACCCTGATGTTTTGAAATGTAAGAGTCAAGATCAACACGTTACATACAAACAGAATGTAACAGTAACACCCCACTGTATGTAAATCTGTCAAAAGCTGGCTCTGTATTCAGGGGAGACAAGCACTTCATAGAACTGGACCTCGATAACAAAAAAAAAAAAACTCTCTCTTAGACTCTCTCCCTCCAATTGTGTTGGAAGACTAGTAACATTCCTTAGTTATTAACGTTGAAAGCGCTTATTTAAAAGTGAAGAGATGTGAAAATAACTCCCAAATTATGGGTCAAGAATAAGTACTTGTGTCTTAATTGACACAACAATGCCACGATTAGGGGGGTGTTTTAACCTTATGTAGAGGGGTAAATATTTAACTAAAGCATTGTCAGGGTTTGTAGGGGGTGGACATATGTATGAAAAAAAAGTATATCACATGTATTTGTTAACTTTTTATCATATTCAAAACTTTAAATAGATTTTTATAGTCCAAAAATCTCGTATTTGAGTATATATATGCATGGTAGAATTTAATTTTTCTTTCATAAAGATTAAAAGCATAATTCATAATCCAATTTGAGAAGCAAATATAGCTGTCTGAAGGCTTAATTAAGGATACAAGGACACATTTTTATTGGAAATTTTGTGGATTTTCAAAGAGCATTTCAAATAGATCAATTCAATACCAAAAATGTGGACCACGGGTAAACGGAAATGTCCAGTCATCGCTTTGTTGACACAGCTCCTGATACGTAAACTGATATTGTTTGTGAGCTAAGATTAGGTCCGGGGCTTCCAAATTCCATTTTAATGCAATGTTTGAAAGTGATCTAAGGAAACTCTCACCCTTCTTTTGATTACTAAGTTTGCTTGGATTATTTTTTGAAAGCAAGTCATGAAGTTATTTCAAACTCTGCCACTAAGTAGCATTATGTAATGAAGTTGAAATTTGTTTTGCCCATGTGTTTGCTTTTTAGATTTGTACAAGTTTGTATGTATGTGAAGCAATTAGATAAACCCTTTTGGTAGGATATGGCACTACTACAATACAATGCTTTGAAAACCTTAAGTTGCTGTGCATGCAATTTAAAACCATAGCATTTTTTTATATTTAGTATTTTTTCTGGCAAGGAAAAAAAATTATTGATTTAAGTTTTATTGTTTTAAGTTCCATCAAGAATTTTTCACTCATCTGAATTTCACTGAGATGCCACAATTTGCCGGTGGAAGAAGGGCTGGTAATTCAAACCTATACTCAGCTCTTGCAGCCTCTGAGCAGGGAAGGATCTTTTTTATGCCAGCTAGTACTCTATAATATTTCTATCATAATATACACATGCATACAAATTTATGTTTATCTTAAATTGAATTTAAGACCAAATCATGTTTAATTATTTATTTCTTTAATCTTAATTTATTTACCAGTATGTAGGTGATTTGTTGATTTAAACAATGGTAAGATTTTTATGTTGAACTTTGCGAAACATATTACGTACCTTTACCTAAATAAACAGGCATTGTTTTACGCAGACATTGTTCTTATATGACACTGAAACTTGAACTCTGCCAGAAATACCAAAGATTTTTAAAGTTGGTTACCCTTAAAAAATCTGAGTGACACTTTAAAACAATGAAGGCAAGGGGTAACAGGTGGTTGGTTTTCCGACAGGAAGAGATTTAGGAGAAAGATTATCTGCAACTTATACATGGTGTATGCACAATATACCTATAAATGTTATTTTCAAAACCAGTTTTTTGTTCATAGTGAATTTAGAAGCTGGGGATTATTTTCAAGAGTATGTTTATTTGAGAAAATATGATACTCGCGATGATCACAAAATTTGCACTGGTAAGTAGATAATGAAAAGTCATGGTGAAAGTGAACGTCTCAGCCAAACACCCAGGGAGTCTGATAAAAAAGAAACGTTATTTGTTCTTGACTTTATTTGGTCAGAGTAAAGCACATTTGATCCCTTTAGTTTTCTCCGGCTTATATGAGATTGAAAATGTGTCACAGGAATTCGGTCTTTCTTTTTTACCTCTTTGATCATGTCTTAGACCAATGCTAAAAGAAACTAAGAAAATGATG